AAAATAAAGTAGGCTTCATAATCCTTCATGCAGTGTCATCTCAACTATACTCAAAAATCAAAATGAAAATCATGCAGAGAGTAAAGAATGTAAGGGATTATACTGAAATGTTAACAGTGTTGTCTTTCATAATGGAAATTAAAAAAAAAAAAAGAATCTTCCAGTTACTAGTGAATACCTCTGTGGGGGTGGGGGGTGGGGGCTGTGCACACTATATACTTTGATTAGTTAACCTCTTATCTAGCCACACCCTGAGCATGAAGCAGTGCCAGGCAACCCAGGGTGAAGGAATATGTTAGAATGGGAAGGGAGAGGATACGAGAAGAGCTACGTGAAAGAGGACACTATAGGGAAGATGGGAAATGCCAAGGAAATGTTTGCTTTCCCCTTGCACTTGGAGCCAGCAGCATTCACATGCCCCACCTCATGCTGGCCTGGCCAACCAGCCTACTGCTGGAAATCACCCCGGTGTCATCTTATGTGGACACCCGGTTATGCCATGGTGCCCACTCTCATATTTCTCTTTAACTTGAGGTCTCTGACTATGGGAAAGGGTATTGCTCATTCATGATGATAATTGCCGAGACCATGATTAAATTATTAATAAGCTGCTCAAATCATTTCCTGATCTTCCATCCTGAGCAGAAATTCAACTTTTGTCACACTGACAAAATTTTGATCCTAGCTCATGCTTTAGTTATATATATTTAATTGCAGGGAGAACACAACCTTCCTCTTTTCTCCTTTCCTGATCTTCTCTTATTTGGTCTGTGATTTTCTGGGGTGAGTAATTTCTTTGTGTGATCACATGCAACTCATGGGATGAGGCAATGCAAGGAGTTATCTAAGTTCTTGGGTGCCGGGTTCTTTGTCACCTGGAGGGGTTGTTAATTTTAGCTGGATGCCTCCCTTCATCATACTAATTAGACCCTCAACACTGTGGGTGGGGCACATGGGCCATGAACTCATGTCCATGAGTTCTGCCAGGGACTCTGGGTATCAAATTTCTGTCTGCTAACTGCACCTCCAAGGCTAGGAAACTGGAGACAGCCCTAACGCCCATGGGCACCCATTCACTTTTGCTCAAGAAATCAAGAAAATAGAGTTACCATTATATAGGCTGTAGGCTAGGAAATGTGGCCTCACTCTTTGAGGGAGCCAACTGATAAAAAATATTTGGAGCATTCCCTTGGGGGCAGCCTGGCTATAAACCCTCCAAAGAACCCTGGAAGCCAGCCTGAGATATGCCTACCTTTTCTGCCTAGCTGGAGTGGGAAAGTCCAGGCTGGGGAGAGGGTGCTCTGGTCCCCACTCTGCCACCACACCGAAGAGAAGTCACCACTGAAGGCAATCTGAAACAGCATGCTTTAAACAAAGTTATTTTAATTCTGCCCTCTTGTTAAAACATGAAGGTGCATGGAATTGGAAAATACAGAAGAAGTCACAAAACAATATTTTGGAGTATTTTCTTTTAATATTATTTCATTGGCCTTTTTTATATAGTTGAGCACATATGATGTATCCAACTCTTATGTCTGCTTTTATTACTTTACATGATATTTCTCTATAGTGTTGAGAATACTTGGCAACCATTGGTTTTAATGATTGTTTAGTATTCTCTCCTCCTCTAGTTTCTTTAGCCATTCTTCAATGGCTGGGCATTCAGGTTATTTCCTATTTTTCAGTATTATGAATAGTATAGCAATGAACACCTTTGATGATAAAACTTTTTCACATTTCAGACTATTTTGTTAGCATAGAATACCAAAAGAAAAAGCTAGGACTGGGGATAATAAAATGCGTAAGTGTCAGACACTTTATATTCATTAGATAATTTCATTCTCAGAATGCTGCAGGATCTGTATTATTATTTTCATTTTACAGATAAAAGAAGGCTCCAAGAATCACATACCTATTAAGTGGCAAAATTGGGATTCAAATGCTGGTTGGTTTAATTCTAAAATGTATTTGTGATGGCTAATTTTATGTGTCAGCTTGGCTGGGCCCCAGTGCCCAGATATTTGGTCATTATTCTGGATGATTCTGTGGGGGTGTTTTTGCATAAGATTTACATTTAAATTGATGGACTCTGAGTAAAGCAGACTGTCCTCCATAATGTGGGTGGGTCTCATCCAATCAGCTGAAGGCCTGAATTGGGGGAGTGGGTGGAGAATGACCTCACAAAGCAAGGGAATTTTGCAGCAGATGGCTTCTAACTTGAATTGCAACTCCTGGCTTTTTTCTGGGTCTCCACACTGATGACCTTTGAACTTGAACTGCAGCATTGGCTCTTGTGGGTCTCCAACCTGCTGGCCCACCCTATAGACTTTGGACTTGTCAGCCGCCATAATTGTGTGAGTCAATCCTTCAAATAAATCTCATTATATGTATGTATACACACACACACACACACATACATACACACCCTATCAATTGTCTGGAGAACTCTAATAGGACATTCTCTCACTAGAATATTTTTAAAGTTTTTGATAGTTATTTTCAATTTGCTTCTAAAAAAGCTTAACAGTGAATACTCCCCCCAGCCATGTATGAGAGGACATGAGCTGACAATTCACAAAGAGGAGGAATACAGTGCATGAGCACCTGTCTCAGCACACATTGGGCATTCATCTTTAAAAAATCTATTTATATATGATATGAAAAAGGACATTTCAGTGTTCCTTGAATTCATATTTTCTTTCCTGACTAATATAGTCAAGCATTTCTTTATAATTTTTTGAACAGATGAATATTTACATATACTTTTCTTTTCTTCTGTTTTTCTTTTTTAAGGATTGAGTTTTTTTACACTGAAATTGCTGGAGTTTATTTTGGTGTAGAGCGCATGATGAGGATCTGATTTGGTTTCTTCCAAAATGGCTCATCTATGGATCTAATACCTTGTATTGTCTGATCCACTGGGCTTCAGTTTTCCCATCTACACAATGAGAGGGTGAGTCTAGACATGGTCTTCAGCTCTTACTGCACATTAGAATCACCTGGGGTACTTTTTAAAAAGCATAGTTGCTTGGGCAACTAGAGTTTTTGTTTCAGCTGGTCTGGGGTCTGAATTGGAGATTTTTTTTCCCCCTCTTTTCTGGTCTTTTACATTATTTAATGTGTAGCCAGGTTTGAGAATGACTGAGCCACAGGACCATGAGGTCATTCCACCTCTAAAATCCAGATTCAATGGGAAACCACTGTGACACCAGGGGTCCCTGCTCTCCAGGCTGGTGGAATTTGGAGAACGTGGTGGGAAATGCGGACATGACCTCTCCCTCTTCCTTGCTCCCTGTGACACCTTCCAGAGCCTGCCGGTCCATGAGGACACTGGCCCAGCTCTGCTCCCTGTGAAGACTTCTAAGCATAGAACCCAATGATTCCTCAGACTTGGATTTCTACAAAAACTTGCCACAAAGAAATCAGGAGAAGAGCAAAGCTGTGTATGTTCCCTGTAGGGAAAAATCAGGTTCCGGTTGATTTTGCTGCTGATTTTTGGTCCATTACCTGTCCTTGCCCACCTTTGTAATCCAGGGATTGTCCCTGGTCCAGTATTTCTGCCATCCCTCACCCTCACTCATCCCAAATGAGACACAGTCTCCTTGGGAAGTGGTTTGCAAGCTTGGTTGCACATCAGACCCCGTGGGAAGCTGTAAAAAATACTGATGCTTGTGCCCTCTCCCTGTCGATTCTGAATTAACTAGTCTGCGGAGGGCTAAAAGCATCAGTGTTTTTATAATATTTCTCAGGTGCAGTCACATTTGAGATCCACTACCTGGCAGGTGGTGGTTGAACTCAAGCTGCATTTAGAGAAATATTCTTGAGAAAGAAAATCCTAGTCAAATTAATTTTTGTTTTTGGCAACATGGGGAAAGTGGGGGGTGAAGTAGATGGCCTGGTGTGGATAAACCAGAATGAAGGGCCATCCAGAGTCCCTCCTGATGGCAGGAGCATCCTCTCCGTGCCTCTCTGCTCAAGGATACAGGGGGCGGGGCAGGTCCAGGAGGACAGGTCAGATCTGCGGTTCATACACTGTGGGAGCAAGGTCTAGAAGTGGGGAATAGCGGCATGATTTCTGCCAGACTACTGCTTCCCCTAATCTTTGGGGTGGGCAGATGGCCGTATTCACTCCTCACTTCTCTCAGCCGCCCCCAGCTTCTTCCCATGAGAGTGGCCCCTGAAAAGAGTTCCTGAAAGGGAAGTGCTTGGTGTTACCTGTTTGGACATTCACAAAAAGAGGTCAGCAAACCTTTAAGGAGACAGGATTTTCCTTCAAATGCACCTAAAAAGCGTTTCCAGTGCCTTGGTAACAGTTTGCATTTTAGCCAAATATTTCAAAGATTGCCTTTCCAACTTGGAAGAGGATTTCCTTAACTTTAGGAAAGCTGGAATGAGCTATTGCCAAGGCAACCAATAGGCAACCCTAATATTTGGCCTCAGCCACTTTAACCATGCCCAAGTCAATTGGAGGGGTCACAGGGAGGAGGGAACCAGCCCTTCTAAGTAGCTCATCTCTGCTTCCATCCTACCACTTCCCTTCTGCTCTTCAGATAAAGGCCATTTACTTCATCTGACAGCTGGTTCTGCAGCTGTGGTGCAAACAGGCCCTTTCCTCTTTCATCTCCTGGTCTGAGACTGCTCCCTTATTAACTACGTGCACTGAGTCAGAGAAAGGGAGCTTTAAAACTGGCTTTCAGGCAATTTCATAGAAATCAATCTTTCCCATCAGCTCTTCCTGGATAATGGCAATAGCATTTTGACTGGCCTCTCTGCTTCCATGTTTACTCTCTTACAGGCCAGGCTCTTCACGGCTCAGCCAGTGAAATTTAAAACAATAATCATGTCATGTCACCCCCCTTGCTCAATTAGCAGGTTTAAAAATCTCGATCAAGATAAAATCCAAGCTTCTTATGAGGGAGGCCTATGGGGCCCTGTGACCTCAGGCCTCACTGGCCCTCAGCCTTAGCTCACACTAGTCCCCCCAACTAGCCCACTCATACCTTCCTTTCTGTTCTTTGTGATCCTCGTTTGACTATTTCATCCAGTCCTTCCTGGCTCCCCGATCTGAGTGCTGGTGATGCTGCGACAACCTCACTCTCTTCTCTAAACAGATTAACTCTCAGGTATTTCATGGAAAAATCCAACATTGACAGATATGCCCAAGATGACACAAAACGTGGCCTTAACATTAGATCACCTGGTCCTGGGAAAGGTGGGAAAAGAAAATGGGGAGATAAAATGGGAGGCCTGGGGGAGAGAAAAGTACATAAACTGGGTGCACAAAAGATACGAGGAGAGTTACTGATAATATAATATTGTTGTAAGATTTAGTCACTATGTATGAAATGGTAGATTAATTCTGGGTAGACTGTGATGAGAAGCCATATTGTATTCCCTACATCAATCACTTAAATATATACAACAAAAAAATACAGGTAAAAAACCAACAGAAGAAATAAAATGGAATAAAAAATATTAAAAATTAAAAAGACAGGAAAGTAGAAAAAAGAAGTAAAGAACAGATGGGAAATAAGGAAACAAAAACCAAGATGGCAGACCCAAACTCAACTGTATCAATAATTACAATAAACGTGGTATTAGTTTCCTAGCACTACCATAAAAAAATGACCACAAATTAGGTGGCCTAAAACAATAGAAATTTATTCTCTCACAGTTTAGGTGGCCAGAAGTACAAAATCAAGGTGCTGGGCACCACTGGCTCCTGGGGACTCTGAGGGAAAAGCTGTCCCATGCCTCTCTCCCCGTTTCTGGTGATTGCTGGCAATTCTGTGTTCCTTGGCTTGTATCTGTGTCACTCTGATCTCCTCACATAGTCTTCCTCTCTCTGTGTCTCTGTGCATGTCCTCTCCTTTTCTTACCAGTCATTGGTTTAGGGCCTGTTCTGATTTGGAATGACCTCATCTTTTTTTTTTAAAGATTTTATTTATTTATTTATTGGAGAGTGAGCGAGAGAGAAATAGCATGAGAGAGGAGAGGGTCAGAGGGAGAAGCAGGCTCCCCGCTGAGCCTGGAGCCCGATGTGGGACTCGATCCCAGGACCCTGGGATCATGACCTGAGCCGAAGGCAGTCGCTTAACCAACTAAGCCACCCAGGCGCCCTGGAATGATCTCATCTTAACTATCATCTGCAAAGTCACAATTTCCAAATAGGGTCACATTCTGAGGCTCTACGTGGACATGAATTTTGTGGGGACACTATTCAACCCATGTAAATATTAATGGGTTAAACACTGATTAAAAGGCAGAGACTATCAGGATTATAAAAAACCAAGACTCCACCATTTGGCACTTAAAAGGGATATACTTTAGGGGCACCTAGGTGGCTCAGTTGTTAAGTGTCTGCCTTCGGCTCAGGTCATTGTCCCGGGGTCCTGGGATCAAGCCCTGCATCAGGCTCCCTGCTCCATGGGAAGCCTGCTTCTGCCTCTCCCACTCCTCCTGCTTGTGTTCCCTCTCTCACTGTCTCTCTCTCTGTCAAATAAATAAAATCTTAAAAAATAAATAAATAAAAGAGATATATTTTAAACATAAGGACAGATTAAAAGTAAAAAAAAAAAAAAAGGAAAAAATACCATGCAAATTGATGTGACTGTACTAATATAAAAAAAGTAGTTTTCAAAGTAAGGAATATGACTAGAGATAAAGAGGGATATTTCATAATGATAAAAGGGCCAATTCATCAAGAAGACATAAAAATACTAAAAGTGTGTGCACCTAATAACAAAGCTCCAAAATATGTAAAATAAAAATAGATGGAACTGGAGAAAATAGAACAATCCATAGTTGTAGTTGGATATTGCAGTACTTCTCTCTTAGCACATTATAGGAGACGAAACCAGGATGATATGGAAGATTTGAACAACAGCATCAACCAACTTGTTATAATTATTATTTATAGAACTTTATATTCAACAACTGAAAAATCCAAATCTTTTCAAGCACACATGGAACATTTACTAGTGGACCTGGGCCATAAAACAAATCTCTTTATTTTTAATATGTATTTTTCAACGACTAATAAGACTCAACAGTTTTTCATATACCTTTGACTATATTCTCTGGAAAACTGTATTTTTGTGTCCTTTTGCAAGTTTTTTTTTTTTATTGGATTCAAACTGCATTAACCATAGGATTTTGAGCTTGCCACTTTGTCTGAATCTCAATTCTTTTTTCTATAAATTGTACGCTCATTCATTCATTCTTCATTCCTGCATCTGGCAAATATTCACTGAGTACCAATATGTGCTTCTATTCTAGATGCTGAAAATACAACAGTGAGCAAGACATAAACATCCTTTTTCTCATCAAGCTGACATTCTGATGGGAAAAATCACTGTCTATCTCATAGGGTGATGTCATGTACATGAAAGCACTTCTGCACTATATGAGTGGTTATGATTGTTACTATTTTATCTTTCAACAATGGTGTGATTAGGAGGACACTAAAATATCCTCTGTGTCTCTAAATAGCAACTCCAATGTTCTTGGACTTTATATTACTGATGTCTTTATACCAAATCATTTTATATAAGAAGGAATAACAAAATTTATTAAGATTACTAGCTTATTAAATGAACAAGTCATTCAACAGGACTCTTAAGGTACTTAGGTATTGGTTGAGTTTAATTTTTATGTCAAGACAAGGGTCAAAAAAGGCAAGAACATGGGGAAATTGCCAGTGGAGACCAAGCTGAAAACCGAGGCAACACCCACCCCCTGTGCTGAGAACTGGGACTGAAGAGAGAACAGAAGACAGAAGTCTTTATCCTCAAAAAGCAAAAGCCTCCACTGGACCCTCCAGTGAGACTGCAAGCCTGATGAAGGAACAAGATGGAATTGGGTAGATCACTGGATTCCCAGCACCAGCCACAGTGCCTGGCATACAGCAGTCGCTTAACAAATATTTGAAGCATTATTTAAATGCCTCCATTCCAGGTGTTATAGTTCAGCTTTAGCAGAAATCCCCCCATGGTGCTTATGAGGGGAGAACAGATAGGACTTCGTATCAGACTCCAGAAAACTGCACATGTGAACCAGATAACCAGCCTTTCTGGAAAAGTACAGAAACTACAAACTATCTTTAAAAGGCCTTTCTATTTTAGGGTCAAGTGTCTGAGGAGGAAATAAATTTCCAGAGACCCAGTGACATCAAAGATAGCATGAAGTAGGTCCTTAGGACCCAGGAATTGAGTTTAAGAACAGATCTCAGAGGAACAAATAATGCAATATACGTTAAGAAAAAAAAAAGAAGAAGAAGAAGGTAGTGGGAGGGGAAGAATGAAGCGGGGGAAATCGGAGGGGTAGACGAACCATGAGAGACGATGGACTCTGAAAAACAAACAGGGTTCTAGAGGGGAGGGGGTTGGGAGGATGGGTTAGCCTGGTGGTGGGTATTGAGGAGGGCACATTCTGCGTGGAGCACTGGGTGTTATGCACAAACAATGAATCATGGAACACTTCATCTAAAACTAATGATGTAATGTATGGGGATTAACATAAGAATAATAATAATAAAAAAAAAGAACAGATCTCAGAGGAATGTAGTTTTTTTTTTTGGTTCAGTTCCATTAGGTTCCATTCACCACTATAAACACATACATCAGGAATACTCAGTAAGAGGGAACTCATGCTTTGTTGCTCACATTTTAGTGAGAAAAATTGCCATTCGAAAGTTGTTAGCCACTTTTCTGCATTAGTAAAGATAAATCCCCTTGGGAAGAACCACTTGAACACTGACTTTAAATGACTCAGTTATAAACTATAATGGGTAAGGAGACAAACTTTCTTGGTAAGTCAACAAAGTCTGTCCCAAAAGACTCTAGGGAGTGAGTGGGCAAATTTGCGTAAGAGCCAAGGAGCTCTCTGGGAGAAATAATTAGAAAACTTCACCCCCCTCTTTTTTTATATAACGGCTTTATTGAGCTAGACTTCACATATTGTAACATTCATGCTTTTAAAGTATAAAATTCAGTGGCCTTTTGTATGTTCACAGAATTGTGCCACCATAACCACAGCCTAATTTTAGAGTATTTTCAATACCCCCACCAAGAAACCCTATACCATTAGCAATCCCTCCTCTCTCACTCCCCTTTGCCCTAGCACCAGGTACCACAAATTTATTTCCTCTACCTATAGACTTGCCTATTCTGGACATTTCATAAAAATGGAATCATGAAAAATACGTCTTTTGTTTTCTTGCTTCTTCAACTCAGTATGCTTTCAAGGTTAATCCATGTTGTAGGATGTATCAGTATTTTCTTTTTTTATAATTTCTTTACTTTTATTCATAGTTTTATCAACCGAGTAAGAAAAGGACTACCTTCCCTAGACAATATTGTTTTATTTTGCCTATTTTTTTATTGTAAAATATAACATAACTTAGAAATGACCATTTTAAGTGTATGGTTCAGTGGCATTAAAGCACATTCAATTATTCAACCATCACCACTATTCATATCCTAGAACTTGTTCATCATCCCATACTGAAATTCTCTACCCATTTTTTTATTTGAGAGAGAGCTAGTGGGGGAGGGGCAGAGAGAGAGGGAGAGAAGGAATCCCAAACAGGTTCCACACTCAGTGCAGAGCCTGATGAGGGACCCTGCACTCATGACCTGAGCAGAAATCAAGAGTTGGATGCTTATCTGGCTCAGCCACCTAAGTGCCCCAATGCTGTACCCATTTAATAATAACTTCCCATTCTCCCCTCCCTCCAGCCCCTGTAACCACTGTTCTACTTTCTGACAGTATATTTCACTCTTCTAGGTACCTCATATAAGTGGAATCATATAATATTTATCCATTTCTGTTTGGATTATTTCTTTTAGCATAATGTCTTCAAGGTTCATTCATGTTGTAACATGTATCAGAATTTCCTTCTTTTTTTTTTTTTAAAGATTTTATTTATTTATTAGAGAGTGAGTGAGAGAGAAACAGCATGAGAGAGGAGAGGGTCAGAGGGAGAAGCAGGCTCCCCGCTGAGCCTGGAGCCCGATGTGGGACTCGATCCCAGGACCCCGGGATCATGACCTGAGCTGAAGGCAGTCACTTAACCAACTGAGCCACCCAGGTGCCCCAGAATTTCCTTCTTAAGGCTGAATAATATTCCATTACATGAATATACCACATTTTGTTTACCATTTATCCATTGATAGGCATTTGGATTAATTCCACATTTTGGCT